TTCTATTTTAATAATTTTGCCATGGATGATTTTTCAATCCTTCTGAGAGGGAGATATGACTGGGTCGAGGGGAGAGGGAGGGGGGGGGGGGGAATAAGGCAGACAATGTTAGCTTAGAGCTATGGTTTTCTTCTCCATTTCACCATTCTGGGCCACAGCAACGTGTGGCGGGGTACAGCTAGTAATGTATATTTCTTTATTACATCCATAACATGCATTATTGATAACAGGCATTGGTACTCTGAAAAATGAGTACTTAGAACGGCCGAATGTCAGACAGGCCTGCGTGCCCAATTTGTAATCCTTTGAAAATAAAGTTTGTTTGTTCGTTCGTTCATTTTTAGAGTCAGAAAAGAAACTTAAAGTTTACTCACTGCTAAGTATGTCCTCAACAAATTATAGAGATTTTCTTATTTGTGACCTCTCAGAGTTTCTTAGCAGCAATGAAGAGGAAAATGGGGATGACATAATTACTGATGCTGTTCAGTTGGATGTGAACAAGGTTTTTTTTCTTCAAATAAACCAAAATGACTGTGAATTATTGGTTTTGGAAGGTTTTGGAGTGTTCACTGGTGTACATTGCTGAATTTGTCTCAAGTAAGCTGGAAAAAAATATTAGGTGAGCTGCCTGCAAGACTTTACTGCAGATGGACAGGCCATTATCCTATGATGTTTACTCAATATCCACAGACTACATACAGCTGCTTGACCGTGGAGGTTTGAAATACTCTTCAAAGTTTATAATTTTATTGACTTTTGTAGCATATGCAGCTATGCAGAAGCTTATATCAGCTGAGTTGGAAACAAAATTTCTAGTCTGCAAACATCAAACAAAAACTGCTTCTGCATATTGTTTCATGCAGTTTACACACATATTTCAATGATGAAATAAGTGGTGTCTGTGCTGAGGGTGGTTCTAAAGTAAACATTGTTTCCAAAGCGCTGCCATCTCTGGCAAATGTTTTTATGAACAACTACAGAAACATAAAAAATGATGCATCCGTGCTGGATAAATCATCTAAGAAAAAAACTGGTTAAATTCACTAAGTGTTAGATTTACATGGATTATGGACTACCATTTGGGTAGCTACATCGCAAGTAGTTTATGTTGTGCTTTCTGTTTTTATGTCGTATTTTGAATATGTAAGTAGTTTCTGTTGTGCTTTCTGTTTCATATCATATTATGAATACCTATATCCAGGGCTGTTCAAGTCAATTTAAGTTTACTCAGGGGCCAACATTGTGAAATTAGGGATTTTTCTGGGCCAGCGGTCTGAATCCCAGCGTAGAAAGACCAATATTTCATTACAACCAGTAGTGATCCGCGGGTCACTCCCTAGGCCTGTTAGAGTGAAAAGGGAATATATTGTTAGCCACCGGTTGTGACGTCAGGTCAAGCTGATGACGTCAGCAGCTAGACAGTACTACCTACGGTCCTGGTCAGTCCTGCAGGCAACTCAGAGGGATCCACAAGACAACATGGAGAGAGTGTTGTGTGCTATCTGAGTTACACAATAATCAGCACACGAACAAGTGTCCACAGGTACGAATATTCACTTGACACGATGCTGTCAGCTCCGTCATACAATAGGTTTATTCGAAAGAACAAAAGAGGGTATTCACAAACCCTCACATCGACAGCACAGCATGTTCAGACACATAGACACCGATCCTATTTGGCATTCGCATATAGTCCATATAGTCCTCACTCTCTCACTCTCAACTTGTAGCGACCTCTCCCTGACCACTAAAGCTCATAAGGTCTACAGCGTCCCACAACTCTGGACTCACTGTACAGAAGAACAGGAACAACTCTCCTATCAACTGAACTTTGAGATTACTTCAGCAGACACTTCGGCTGACTGGAACGGACTTCATTCTCCAGCATGTGCTCACAGCACCTCAGCCTGTCGAAGGATTCCGATGACCGACAGGACTTATGCGCGCTCCTCAGCATCCCTACTGATCTGTTTCCATGGTGATCCTACGTCTCCTATTGGAGCATCCAGTCCCCTTGGCCTTACTTCGCCAGTGGGACTATATCTTCGACCAGTAAGGTGACCGAGAATTTCACTCAGACCTTGCTGTCTGTCTTACTTGAGAGATGATTACTCCGACTTGGTCACTCACTGCCGTACAGCACTCTCGTGCTGGGTGTTTACTACACCCACACTTCCCCAGTGCTTTAGTTCTCTGGCAGCAGCTCACTGACTCGGACTGTCTACGCAGCCCCAATATATTTCAGCTGAACACATTAGGGTGGCTGATGTTACACGAGAGGCACACTCATGTGGGCGTTCTCGGGAATCATGCTCATGTAGGCGTTCTTGAGACATGCTCATGTGGGTGTTCTCAAACTACATGAGAATCACTCATGTGGGTGGCTTAGGCTTACATGAGAATCACGCTGTCACGTAATTCATACTTTCTCTGCACGTCTTGTTAGCCATGCTTGTCAGCCACCACCGTGAACCCATGTATCTACTTTGTTGTGACACTACACTCCTCACTGGTCAACATTCTCTCCCCCTCACTACTCGGGCCAATGTTCACACCATTCATGGGACATTTCCTTGAACACCCGGAAAGTACTATCGTACCACTCTGTCCCTTCACACAATATTACACTCTCGCAAATCACTACGCAACAGAGAGAAATGACCCGCCAGCTAAACAGACTCTCAGAAAACAATCAAACTGTTCTCCAGTGGATCCCGGCTCACTGTGGTATACCAGGAAATGAGTTAGCACACAGACTTGCAAAAAATGGAACAAAGGAGAAACAACATATCCATTCATTTTCATTACCAGAAATCAAAATACTCAATTATGGAAAATACAGAAAATTGTGGAGAGACCAAACCAACAGTAAACATCCACAATACCCCAACAGCAGACTCAAAAGAAAGCAACATACAACAATTTTTCGTCAACGAACAGGACACTGCAGGCTCAACTACCACATGCATAAAATATAAATTGTACAGACCCCACAGTGTGACTCTCAGACAGGACCATAAACACCTGTGCACGTTTTGCAGACCTGCCCACTCTACCCCTACTTCGAAAACAAACCTGGCAAAGAGTGCAGAGCATTCTATGGGAAACCATGAAGGACCTGTTGCTGACATGCGAGTTCATAGAGACAATCCACCTGATGGTCTGATCTGAGCATACAAAACCGAACGCAAAGAAGAAGAGATCAGAGACAATAACAGATAGAGAGGTTGTCTGGCAGCATGTGTCTATTTTCTATCAAGTAGATTGGGTGGGTAAAACAACAGCTCATTGTTTGTAAACATTCAAATATTGTTAAAGCTGATACATGGTCAGTTTCTGAGGCAGACAAGATACACAAACATCTATGTAGAATATTTGTGGCTACTACTCTTGTAGCCCATTTCTGCTGGATGGTTATAGTGTCTTGTCATTTAAAATAATACAGGAATCTCAAAACACTTCAACTAATCATATCTGTGTTGACAAGAAACTGTAATTTTCTATAGTTAGTCGACAGCGCACCATCACTGTGCCTTGATCCAGTCATTGCATAAGTACTCATATCCTTTCCTGAGTAAATCCTGCAGTGTGTTGTTGTAGCTGACAACACCATTTCTGTGTTGGATTCTTTGGCTTCCTGGCTAGTGCTCTTTTAAAGTGACTAAGCATTTCATAAAAGTTTACAGAATGGCAAATCTATTAAAATATGCTAAAAGTAAAAAACAGTTTACACTCGAGAGACATAATACTTAAAAGCATAGAAGTCAATACAATACAGGATATCTCAGAAATCAAGCAATTAAGGGCACATCCGGCAACAATCTGTTGCAATAAAACTTGGCAACATGTTCACCATTTTCGGAATGATCATGTGCTGAAGTCCTTGAGGAAAAAAATAAGAACAAAACAAAAGAACAAATAGTACCCAGAACCCTAAACAAAACAGCATCAAAGAAAACACCAAAGATTTTTTTTTTTACATTCAGATTTAAACATAGCATAAGTAGAGCTGCCAAGGCCAGAGACCATGAAAAGAGTCGGAAGCTAATAAAGAAGTTAGAAAAAAGACAAAAGTGTATGAGAGGCAATAATTATGTTGCCAAGAAGATGTGGCAGAGGCAGCAGCAGTGACATAAGCCCTAAAGAGATGTATTATACCCCAAACAAATCAGTAGGACACTCTACTCAGTTAACTGTACAACTTAAAGTCATTTGCCTATGCAGGCAGTAATTCTGACAAATACCTGTACTGTATCACAAACAAATCTGTAGGACAATCTACTCAATTAACTGGACAATTTAAAACCATTTGCCTAATTAGGCAGAAATATAGACAAACACCTCAGAAATATAGACAAACACCTGTATTGTACCACAAACAAATCAGTAGGACAACCTACTCAATTACCTGGACAAATTAAAGCCATTTGCCTATTCAGACAGTAATGTAGAAAAAGATGGGATCACAGATAGACAACCAAGAAAAAGCATGCAAGAGATGCCTCCAAGCGAGGAAATCTATGACCCAATAGAAGAAATTATGCCTAGCAGCAAGGTTACTCTATGTCACTCTAATGACATATCAGTATGATATTGAAACACACAGACCAGCTCAAACATTTAATAACAATCTGTAAACACTCATTAACTGGCATCTGCAAGAACATAAGCTATTAATTATGATTATATAATCATTAGAGTAGGGCTTACGGAGCTACTTAACAAATTCCAGTAAATCAAGAGGTCAGGAAAAGCTGGTGCTAGACATGACTTACATTCAGAAAAACTGGTAACATAACTAGAATGTTTCTGCACATTTGAGACAGAGGTGAATCAGACATGGAGGGCGTTGTACAAGATGACAAAGGAAAGAATGGTTTGGTACACGCTCATTTAGGACATATTCCATGGCAGGTGGAAAAGGGGGCGGGAGGTGAAGAGTAGAAGAAGATGAACATCTAATACCAATAATAATGAAACATCACACAACAAACACTTACCCTCGGCTGTACATCGGCTGCCGTACTGAGTAGCCACAGCTGTTCCATTGAGTTTGGATCCCTCCCACTGGTAGACAAACATGCCAGTGTGTGTGGATCCAGCGTCAAATACAACTGCATACTACAAGAGAAATAACACATATCGTAAGAGAAATACTGCATACTGCAAGAGAAATACTGCATACTGCAAGAGAAATGCAACACATTACAAGAATGTTGAATGTTAAATTAAGAATTGACATCACAGCGCTTGTGACACCCCCATAAGTGCTTCGTCCCCATCTCCAGCAGCAAGCTTTTTTCGGTCATCTAACAACAGAAATGCAACAGAACAGTTGTAGACAGTGATAGTGTGGGAGCAGATCTATGGTAGCAGAGGATACAAGTGTAAGACTACGCATAGAAGACTAGGGCTCTACCTCTACAGAAATTTTTAAGCCCTGTTGATTGTACTAAAATTGTTGCCGACGACAGTGTGGTGAAGTGCAGTGGGCTATTTGCACCAAGCAACACAGAAAATTGTCTACACCAGATCCCTCCATTCAGATCTGTTTCAAAATTTAATGATCTAGCAACATTTACAACACCAGGTAGAGTGTTGAACCGAAGCCTAGATTGAAATTCCTGTGCAACAAGCTCTGGCACTGGGTATTTGTGTCACAGCTTAGCAGTAACAAGCGTGGCAGAACATTTGGTAGAAACCTTCTACAGTACGAAAAGCCTGCGATACCTCAAGATCATCGAAAACTGATCGATATCTCAAGATTATCGAATATCAGTCGTTCCATAATACACAAGAAATGCAATAATAACTACGCATTCCAATGGCCTAAATGCAATTAAGTAACAAGGAAACAATTTAAATATTCTGTATTAATTTTAATGCCCATAAAAATCATGTGTTAGTGTGTACAGTTTAACAGTGAAATAGCAGTGTAATATCCTAAATACACAACAACGAACTCAAAGTACATACACTGGAAAAACTAGCATATACTGGGTGCAGTGAAGATTAGCCTGCGGGTATAATTGTTATCAGTTTGAACATTAACCTGCTGTGTACAGTCACTAAGTGCGGTGAACATTGTCTTGTCTTGTCCATAATTGCCTCACAGCGTAGTGGGGAGTCGCAGTTTTCTATCCTGGGCCAGGTGTGTTGCACGTGTTGTTGTTAGTCCGTGTTGCCTCAGGATCTCTATATTGTCTATCCATTGTACTCTTGGTCTGCCTCTTGCTCTAGGGCAGTAGTGCTGTTCGTTGTAACATCAAACTGACGTAATTTTTTTTTTTCAGATATTCTCTATTCTCGCTCACTATTGCAATAAATAGTACCAGTTGCAACCTGATTAAAAGTCTGCCTCTGTTTCCCCTTCAATGCTGAATATCTCTGAGAACCTCTACTCCCCTCCCATATCCCCTTGAATTCGTTTCTCAGTGTATGGATTCCCTGTCTGTTCTTTGGAATCATTTATTTCACTTTCATCGGCTTTATCATACAGTAGCTCACCAGCCAGAGGTGTTAGTTAGTTAGTCAACAGATTATCCTCACTGCACATGGAACCATTCAGTACATAAGTACTCCGATTCCCTCATTTGTATATACCGCAGCGTCTAGTTGCTTAGGACACTAGTTCTGTGTTGCTTTCTTATTCTTCTTTAGCTTCCTATAAAGCACTCTTGTCTGGCCACACCCCTCTTAACATCTCGTTTTTGCAGCCTGATCATGGCTGCAGATTCACAATCATGTCTTGTTTCTCTTTCCCAGAGAAGTGGCAGCAGCTAATGCATCACACTGCTCGTTACCTCACACACCTAAATATTCTGCCCAGAAAATCCATAATATGCTCTTGATCTGCGCCTTATCAAGTGATGCAAGCCACTCTGATCACAGGAAATACGTTTCAATTTTCCAAAGCACGCTCTGTGAGTTGGTTAAAATCACAACATGTCAGACTGCGACAATCAGAACATGTCAGACTGTGCGACAATCACAACATGTCAGACTGTGCGACAATCAGAACATGTTGGGCTGTGCTACTTACTCTCAAGCCATCTGAAAGCTGCCATTTCTGCCTCCATCTCCGTTCTCATACTGGATATAGTGATGGTGTAAATGAGGCTCACTACTGCAATAAAACCACACCCACTCCTCTTATCTCTCACTACAGACCCATCTGTATATATTATGATGTCACCTGGGCATAAGTTTTCATATATCAGCTCTTGCACCTTTGCCTGTTTCACCATTATCCATTCCCAACTCCCTTGGTCCAAGGTGACTCTCACTCTATACAAGACTGTTTTGCTCTGTGGCACTGTAACCCATTCTTCACCACTTGCTGCTTGTCAGTAACACAAACGGTTGTGTCGTGACTTCTGCCTGTGTCATCCTAAAGCCACCTCTTTTCAGCCGTTCTTCCTTACTATCTCCTAATGCCTCAAGCAGAAGGTGTTTCCTGTCCATTGCAACTTTAAAGTACTTTTTTTGCCTGTAAAACCTTGTATTTCTCATATACGGTTGGTAATGCAAGTATGTGCCGCATGCACACAAAGGGCATATCTCAAATATACACCCCAAAATGACTTGCATGGCTTTCTTTTGTAAGCGTTTCAACTTCTTTGTTATGGTATCAGATAATGTTAGCAATCCCAAACCAGACTCCATCACTGAAATAATCAGTTGCTGGTAGAGCATTTTATGTGTCATGTCCTCTGATACCAGCACCTTTAAAGCACCGAGTCCTTTCTATATATTTAAAACTACCTCTTCAACATAGTATTTGAAAGACAGGCTCATGTCAAAGATAATTCCTAGATATTTTAGTGTGAAGAAGGCTCCATAGCTACAACGTCCACGTTTTGTTAGTGTTTGTTATATTGTGAAGCTCGCTGATATACTTTTCGTTAGGTTTTATATGTTTCCTAGATATTTTAGTGAATTATTTCTTTTTATATTACTACAGTTTATTGTGATGTTTGGCAACACATCTCTAACAATTCTATTATTTAAAAAAACACCACTATACCGCTACCTTATCTGGGTTGATGACTGAGCCTGTTTCTTCACACCACTCACTGACCTTATCTATCGTGAAATGCAGTTCTCTAGATATTTATTCTATTTCTCCCCTGTGTGTAGACTTTGACATCATCAGCAGAAGCCAAGATCCTCCCTACACCCACTGTCTCTATTGCTGCTATCCTGCTTGTCTACACATTGAAAAATACTTTGGAAATGGCAGAAGCCTGTGGGAGGCCAGGTGCCATACTACATGGTTCAGAGCTCCCCGAACCTAGGTGAAAGGTAGTCTGCAGTTCATACAGGACTGCTTTACCCATTGTTCTATCGCACCCAGTTTCATTCATGAACTGCTCCCATTTCACTTTTTTTAAGCATTTGTGGTCCACAACTTGAACTCGACCATCCTGGTTATCTTTTCCTCTTCTCATCTCCTTTGGCACACAAAAAAGGCCACCTTCGTACTCGCTGCCATTCTTTCACTGCCACCACTTTTTTTTTAAACTTTTCACGCTTGTTCTACCTCAAGAGTCCACCATGGTGGCTAGATGAATTTACTCCTGGTGGCCCCTGACCTTGATTTCTCCTAGGGTGCCCAATAAGTAACTCTGTCTTGTCATATCTGAAGACTTTATGCATCTTCTTATCCTGGTCTTGCCCAGTATAGACAGCAGGACGGTACACAGCAGCTGGTTGGTTCCATGGTCACCAAGTACACTCCATACAGTATCTGTTTCTGCAATCTGCAAGACCAGTGCAAAATCAATAGCAGTGTCTGCATCGCCTGGCCTCACTGCCATTCTTGTGGCTTTACCATCACTAATACAGACAAACTCTGATTTGACCAGAACATGTTCCAAGGCTTTTCTTGTCTATTTTTTCACGGAAATATTTATGGGCATATGCGCTAAAGTCCTCAGTTGTTCAATACCTTTTATCCAATCTGCAATGTGGCTTCGTCTAGGCTCCTCACATTGCTATACTGACTTTCTTAGTTACAAAAAAGTACTAGGAATACACCAGATGATGAACACTCAGTTACTGATCTTTATTCGCTGTTCCAACAGTCGCACTGCCCAGTCGCTCACTTGTGTCCTCGTGGTTGCTACGCATGGCTGATTTATGACAACATGTCCAACTATCTCACAATTTGATTCTTTCTGCCATTACTTTTCAGATCATACATGCTGATCAGACTAACATCTTGTTCCTTGTACCTGTATACAATCGAAACTCAGTCAGTAGACATTCGTACAATTACACATGGTCAGACGGTTTGTATTCTTTTCAGCTGTTCTCTTGCATTTGACCGCACACACGCAAGTCCAAACTTTAACTGACTTCCTATCCTCTCTGGGCTCACATCTTCCGTTTAAGTCTCATGCTTTCCTCATATCCCTATTCACTCACACAGGATACTCGAGACATGCTTTCCACAATTTTGTTTTGTTTCACTGGTCCTCTGACCTTATCCCCCCAATCAGAAACTCTCTGGGATTTTCCCGGGAATTCACAACATTACACAATCCCACTGCTCATTTTTAACAAAGGACTCTCCATGTGCATCTTCATTTACAATGTTCCACTTTCTCCCATGTGCATCTTCATTAACAATGTTCCACTTTCTCCCATGTGCATCTTCATTTTCAATGTTCCCCTTTCTCCCATGTGCATCTTCATTTACAATGTTCCACTTTCTCCCATGTGCATCTTCATTTACAATGTTCCACTTTCTTCCATGTGCATCTTCATTTACAATGTTCCACTTTCTCCCATGTGCATCTTCATTTACAATGTTCCACCTTCTCCCATGTGCATCTTCATTTACAATGTTCCACTTCTTCCCATGTGCATCTTCATTTACAATGTTCCACTTTCTCCCATGTGCATCTTCATTTACAATGTTCCACTTTCTCCCATGTGCATCTTCATTTACAATGTTCCCCTTTCTCCCATGTGCATCTTCAATTACAAGGTTCCCCTTTCTCCCATGTGCATCTTCATTTACAATGTTCCACTTTCTCCCATGTGCATCTTCATTTACAATGTTCCCCTTTCTCCCATGTGCATCTTCATTTACAATGTTCCACTTAAAGCCCCCTATTTCGTCTTTATCCAGTGAAGCTCTTTATTGCTCTGATTCCATCGATTCATATCAAGTGCCAAATGTTGTATTCCCTTTCTTACTATTATAGTTTGCCCAAGTTCACCTTGCCCTAGTAGACTGGTGTATCAGACTGATGTCATCATCATCAAGTGCCTTGTCGACTGGCGTGGGCAATCATGCCTCTCCACAATGTGCGATCTGCAACTGGGTGTATCAGTTCCCGTGCTGACACCCTTCTATACCATGACAAAAGACTGTCAAGAATCTTTTCATGCTGTCTTTCTGTCTCTCTTTCCACAAATCTTTCCAGTGGTCACAACATATTCCATTTTCCCTCTTCTCATGACGTGACCAAAAAATTATGGCCGTCTCTTTCTGATGTTTGTGATAAGTTGTCTTTGAGCACTCATCTCTTTCAAAACATCTGGGTTGCTCTTCTTAGCTGCCCAAGGAATTCTAAGGATTCTTCTATAAAACCACATTTGTGAGGCCTCAAGATATTGTTCGGCTTGTTGATTAATTGTCCAGGCTTCACAGCCGTATGTTAAAATTGGCTCTATATAGCATGCAAGAATGATTTTTGTAACCACCAATGACATAGATTTATTACACACAAAAATTGTCAACTGCCAAGGGACTTTTTCTGTGCGCAACAATACACACCGGTTTCCCGTCTTAGTAACCAGAGACCCGGGCAAATTACTAGAAGTCCACATGAAAAAATCCCTGTCTTCACCAGGATTTGAACCCGGGACCTCCAGCACTTGAGGCGGATGCCATAACCCGAGAGGGCAACGAGCATGCACATGATCTTATAGACACTGCTGGTACTTTGGCTGATCTGGTACTGGACAGAAGCAATGTTATCAATTAGGGCTGTACCCAATAGTGATTTTCACTATTCGGCCGAATACGAATAGCTGGACAAACTATTCAGCCGATTACGAATAGTGAATCATCATCATCAGGTGCTTTGCCGACTGGCAAGGGCGATTATGCCTCACCACAATCTGCGATCTCCTGCAGGATGTATTAGTTCGTGTGCTAACACACCTCCATGCCATGCAACAAGACTGTCAAGAATCTTCTCTCATTGTCTTCCTCTATCCCTCCTTTGACATATCTTTCCAGTAGTCACCACATGTTCCATTTTCCCTCATCTTATAACATGGCCGAAAAATGATGACTGTCTCCTTCTGATGTCTGCGAGTAGTTGTCTTCGGGCTCCCGCCTCTAACAAAACCTCTTGGTTGCTTTTCTTTTGGCTGTCCAAGGTATTTTAAGCATTGTTCTGTAAAACCACATCTCTGAGGCCTCAAGAAATTGTTTGGCCTTCCTACCGATTATCCAGGACTTACAGCCATATGTTGAAACTGGATGTAAGTAGCAAGCAAGAATTCTTTCTCTAACCTTCAATGACAAAGATATATTGCATAAGATGTTCTTTATTTGATAAAATGCAGTTTTAGCCTGTCCTATTTTGTTTCTTATTTCAGTAATGCATCTTCCATCTGATGTTATCCATGTGCCCAGATACTTAAATTTCTGTACTTGTCCCAAAATAAAACCATTGACTTTCATTACACATTTAGGAATAATTATTTTCTATGATACCACCATTACTTCTGTCTTCCCTCTATTCAAACTGAGGGCCATTCTTCCACTTTCGTGTATAAAATAGATCTAAAAGAAACAAACATCCATAATGTCTCTGAAATTTTACTTCACAACATGTAGTACAGAATAGTAAACATTTAAAAACATTTCATGTTTTGCATCCTTCAGTCAGTCAGTCTGTGGTAACTAATACGTAGGAATGAAAGTATTCTTAGTTTTATAACAAGTTATTAAACTTGTAAATTGTCACTGACAGCTTAGTTAATCCATGAAAGCGGCATTAGCTTTAAAAAAAAAAAAAAACACCAATCGTTCCACCTTGTCAGCATTAAGGCAGCTTCTTGTCTCACTAAAGGTATTTCCAGCTGTACTAAGCATATGTTCACTTGGTACGCTCATAGGTGGTGCACAAAGATAACGCTTGAAAGTATGATCCAAGGTGGGAAATCTTGTTATGTTTATTTTCCACCAGTCCAGAAACTGGTGTAAGGTAACCACTATTTGTATTTGGCACGACCGCAACTATTCGGCCGAATACCGAATAGTTATTAGGTCCACTATTCGGCCCCGAAGCGAATACGAAGTGAATATTCGGTACAGCCCTATTATCAATGCCATGATCAACACTTATTGTGAAGATGAATAAGACAAATGGCATGACTCTGTATCCCTGTCTAGGCTTATGGACATGGCGTGCAGCCTAGAGCTGCAAGAAATAAACATTTCACCAAAGGGACAAGGCGTCATCAGTCATTTTACACTTGTAGAGTTTTAAAGTCGGAGATCGGAGCACCTATGGACCTGTCCGCAATGCTGTGATGATGATCCTCGATAATTACTTACTAGAGATTCAATGAACGTAGAAGATGAGCTGATCGGAGAGAAGACAACTGCCACTGAAAAAGAATGTTTTTCTTAAAGTTTATGCCCTGTGGTGTTGGTATTTATATCTATCCACAACCTTCTGTCTCGTGTTAGTTAGTCTTTCCTCTTGTGTCGAGTGCGGCACATAGGGCAGAGGTCGTGACTCTCCATGCACGGCGGTCCATTGCAATCCGTTGTAGGTCTTGGATGTTTGAGTGGCCCATGAGCGAGCCTTCCCTGATGATAGTTCTACGTAGGGTTTCCCTTGGTCTTCCACGAGATCTTTTCCCCTGTGGTGTCCAAATGAGGGCTTGGTAAGGAAGTCTTGATTTATCCATTCTAAGGGCGTGGCCGACATAGTTCCAGCGGCGGCGTTTTCGTATAAAAATTAGACACATACTCTTGCTGGATTCTTTGCCTTATTTGTGTATTGGTTCGGAAATCTGACCATTTGAAATTTAGTATTCTTCTAAGGCATTTATTTTCAAAACTGTCTAATTTTGTGTCTAGAGTTTTCGTTGATTTCCAGCTCTCGCATCCATAGGTTAGTACTGGAATCACACAAGAATTGAAGATCTTGAGTTTTGTGTGTTTTGCTAAGTGTCTTTGATTTCCAGATGTTAGACAGTTTATTGAAGGCACTAGATGCCAGTGCTATTCTAAATGATATTTCTGGTGCGGTATCTCCTGTAGATGACATCTTGCTCCCTAGATAAGTGAAACTGTTGACATTTTCAAGGCTGTTGTTGTTCAGCGTGATATCAACTGAACTGTTGGTAAGGTCTAGAATTTTTGTTTTTGCGGTGTTAATTTGGAGTCCAATTTGTTCTGAGAAATTCTGGAGTCGATTGATTTTTTCTTGAGCGTCTGTGTGTTCTGAACTCAGGAGTGCTATGTCGTCGGCGAAGTCTAGGTCTTCCAGAATTTTGTCAACCCATGTAATGCCTAAATTTGCGTTATTTATGCACTTGCGCATGACCTAGTCGATTGCTATACCAAAAAGCATCGGCGATAGGAGACAGCCTTGCTTCACTCCTGTTTCCACCGGGAACCAGTCAGAATTGCCGGAATCAGTTCCTACACAGCATCGTGTTTCATTATAAAAAGATTTTATGATGTTGATATATTTGATGGGGAAACCATAGATGTTAAGCAATTTCCAGAGTGTTGGACGATGGATACTGTCGAAGGCTTTTTGAAAGTCGACAAAGTAATACTGCTGCTGTTTTGTTTGTTCATTGACAAACTTATGAGGAAATCACCTCATTTTGTTAATTGTTCATCTTTCAATCAACTCTCATAGATTACCCTCCATGCCATGATATCAGACTGTCCAGCATTTTTTCTCTCGGTCTCCCTTTGTCTCTCCTCCCCTTCAACTTTCCTACCGTCACAACGTATTCTAGTTTACTTCTTCTCATCACATGAATAAATATTGTTTAAACGCTGCCTTTGCTTGAGCTATTTGACACTTAACTTCTTTAATACAAGAAGAGAATACAAGAAATAAATAAAGGTGTTATGTTATAGAAACAGAATGATAATTCACCTACATCATACTCAGGGCTGACATGTCTCAACCTGATGATACATACTGCCACTATGCCGACTGTGCCAATCAGGAAACTGCCGAGAGCTAAGATCCACAAAGTGTTGTAGTGACAAGGTCTCTTCATCTGCACATCTGAAATTGGATACGACTCAACTCATAAGATTCAAATATGTTCAGCAAATATCTGCATGGTGTACAGGCTAACTAAGCAGTTCCAGTGTCAGTGTGTTAAGACTAACTATAGAATTCCAATGTCAACATGTACATTTTTAATTACTTATGCAAAACAGTTCACTTAAAAGGAGCATTTTTAAGATGAACAATTAACAAAATGAGGTGATTTCCACATTAGTTTGTCAATGAACAAACAAAACAGCAGCAGTATTAGACCTCAGAAACAAATGAATGTTCCCACATAAGTTTGTCAAAGAACAAACAAAACAGCAGCAGTATTAGACCTCAGAAACAAATGAATGTTCCCACATAAGTTTGTCAATGAACAAACAAAACAGCAGCAGTATTAGACTACAGAAACAAATGGATGTTTCCATGAAAGTCTGTCAATGAACAAACAAAACGGCAGCAGTATTAGACTACAGAAACAAATGAATGTTTCCACATAAGTTTGTCAATGAACAAACAAAACAGCAGCAGTATTAGACTACAGAAACAAATGGATGTTTCCATGAAAGTCTGTCAATGAACAAACAAAACAGCAGCAGTATTAGACTACAGAAACAAATGAATGTTCCCACATAAGTTTGTCAATGAACAAACAAAACAGCAGCAGTATTAGACTACAGAAACAAATGGATGTTTCCATGAAAGTCTGTCAATGAACAAACAAAACAGCAGCAGTACTAGACTATAAAAACAAATGCATGTTTCCACGAAAGTGTTTCAATGAACAAACAAAACAGCAGCAGTACTAGACTATAAAAACAAATGCATGTTTCCATGAAAGTGTTACAATGAACAAACAAAACAGGAGCAGTACTAAACTACAGAAACAAATGCATGTTTCCATGAAAGTCTGTCAATGAACAAACAAAACAGCAGCAGCACTAAACTACAGAAACAAATTGATGTTTCCACCAAAGTTTTCAATAAACAAACAAAACAATGGCACCTTAAGAGGCCATGTACACAGAGAAATCAAAGTACAGTTTCAACTTTTGATCTAACAGCGTGAAACTAATATTTTTGATTGTTATATTCTGCGTGGCCACTCCTAAAAGCTAATGTGGTAATTATCATAATAAACAAGAAAACATGAACATAGATGCACAAACCTAAGTTAAAGTAAGAGAGTTAGCAAAAAATATTGAAGATTACATTTTTATGCAGTGTAATTCTTTGGCATGATATTTTATTTCAGATTCAGTCTCCAAACTACTGCAGTCTGTAACTATAAATTTGTCAGATTGTATTAGGATATTATCTGCTAATGAGAATGCAGAAAATCTTGAACGCAGTACATAATTTCTTGCCCAAACTGATATTAGAGCCAAAAGGAAAAGTGTCAGTTTGACTATGAAGTTGTTGTTGATGAACCTTTAACTGAGAAAAATTAATTTAAAATAAACTTTTTCTATTACATTCTTGAATTTACCCTTAATTTTCTGTATTTATGCTTCTGGAAACTCATAGCAAAAATGTTCAGTTTTTAATTGACATTAAAAAAACCCGAATATAGATGACAAAATGCTAGAAAATTACTGTACCAGTCTACAGTCAATACTTTTGGTTGATATAAATCAGATATAAATGCAAATGATCTTCAAGAAGAATTATGGGATGTATCCTGAATGCTAGCACATTCTATGAAACCTTTGGATGTTTTAAATTACACTGCCAAAATAACTGAATTACTTAGTATCCAAATACTGTTGTAGCTCTGAGACTTTTACTAGCACAGCTAGTGGGAAAAGAAGTGTTTACAATTAAAATTAATAAAACACTACTTGAGATGTTCAATAAGCCAGATGAAACTTTAAAATCTGTAATTAATTTCTGTTGCATTTACTCTGGCTGCCACTTTAGAATGCATGTCACTGATTATCCAATTTGCTAAAGTTAAAGTTAGATGGGTATAACTGTAGTAGACTGTTGATATCATCATTTTAAAGTAACTTAAAATGTTCACACACACACACACACAAAAGTATTCATACATTTTGTGCACACACACAAAAAAAAACGTGATCACGCACACACACACAGTTTTTAAAGGGAAAAAACACATGAACTCTTTGAGGCCCACACGACGGTGTGAGCGTTGTTTGAGAGGGTTCCGTTTTACCCAAACAAGTGTCATCGTCACTTATGAGTCCCTTTTATTTTGCTTTGCACCCGCTTCGTACTAGTTTCTAATGTTTGGAGGTAGGATTTAACTATTCACGGAAAGTCACTCTGACGAAATCCTTTTTGTTTCATTTCCTGGACTAAACCACACGTGGATAATTTAAGAGAAAACACAGCGAAATTTTTTTTTAGCAGTTCACTTTCTAAGTTCGTTTTTGAGTGCCATGAATACCAATGTTCCAACTACAAGTACAGGTCGCAGAATGCATCTTTCTGCTGCGGAAGCTCTGAAATTGTTTCAGTCAGATGTTCCTAATTGTGATAATGATAATAAACATTTAGATTTTTCGGAAAGTGATTGGACGGTGAATTTTCACCAGTGAAGCTGAGCGATCAGCTGTTCGAAATCTAGCGATTCTGATGAGTTTATTACACAGACAATGTCCCATACTACCGTATTTATGATGTAAGAGAAGGAAAGTTCTCTAAACAAAGAGACAGTACTATACTATGGCTAAGCTACACTAAAATCATCGCGGCTACAGTCTGTAAATAACTGTACAAAGTAAAAAGTAAATAGTGTGTGTGTGTAATGGCTTATTTTTCTGCCATTTTTTCTCTGAAATTTTGCTCAGCACTCTGTGAGAACTAAGAGCTCCTGAGTGCTAAACTTACCCAGAAAGTTATTATAACTTTGGAATATGTTAGGAAATTGAACAAACTTTGAAGTTTTGTTCTCAAATTTGGATATTTACTACTCTTGTGGCTGCAAAACCATGGTAAGTGAAGAATTTTTTTTGTTAAATGTTGTCCTTGTGAAATTAACACCTGCTGAATTCTTTTTTCACTCTAACTATAACAAAATTAAACAAACACTTATCATCGGATTCAAAATGTACATTCATTTCTCTTTTAAAAAATATATACTTTTATAGGGATTAGAAGTATATTACAATCTCTACAGCCTTTCTTGTGCACCCACCCCTCTGCCATTTTTGTAAAGGGAAATTAATTTGGGCCAAGTCTGTCAAAATTCATGGGCCTTAAAGAGTTAAGGCCTAAGGGGTGGCATTAGGAAAATTTGCATCACACTGAAAAAATCTACCACATGGCCCTAATGGAGACACAGGAACATTATTATTGCATGGTAATCTACTTTCAGCACCTGTCATCAGCAGATGTCAAAAGCATTAAATAATGTTGTACAAGTTGATCACTCCAATGTTGTAAAGGGGCCCAACTGCTCACACCAGTTGACATGACATTTGATAAGTCCATTTAAAAAAAATATGTCATAAGCCATATTATCAGCAGACCAGTGAAGAAATGTCACAACAGTATACATTAACTAGTCTAGTCAAGTAATGCCACAGATGTCATAAGATCACATATTCACTAGTCGTGAAGAAATGTCACACTATTTTACATTCTCTAGTGTTTTCAAGATATGTTTCAGATTTCACAAAATCATATATTTACCAGTCTAGTCAAGAAATGTAACAACATCATACATTCACCAGTCCAGTCAAGAAATGTTACAGATGTCACAAAATCAAACATTCACTTGTCTAGTCAAGAAATGTCACAAGAGTATACTTATACATTCACTAGTGTTTTCAAGAAATGTCACAGATGTCACAAGATCATACATATTCACTAGTCTAGTCGAGAAATGTCACAAGATCATACATTCACTAGTTTAGTCAAGAAATGTCACAAGATCATACATTTACCAGTCTAGTTGAGAAATGTAACAACATCATACATTCACTAGTCCAGTCAAGATATGTCACAGATGTCACAAGATCATACATTCACTTGTCTAACAGAGAAATGCCACACAAATCATAAACTCACATAATCTGCAGTCAGTGAAGAAATGTCAAACTAACACATTTATTGATTCACAAATGTCATAAACTCACACATTCACCAGTCCAATAAAGAAATGTCACAGACGTCATAAACTCATACATTCGCTAGCCCAGTGAAGGAATGCTCCATCGTGGACACCTGACTGGACTAATGTGTCTGACTGTCTGAGAATATCGTGGCCTCCGCTGCGCAGACAATAATCAGGCCTTAGACTGGTGCCTGCCTCTTGACACAGCTGCACTAGGACTTGTTCCACTGTTGCTTCTGCTGGGACATGAAGATGATATCGTCCCTGTGGCTCATTGGCTGCAAGAATGCTTTGGATGGTGACTTCTATCAGCTGCATGGCTCTGTCACTGTAAGTATATAGAACAGTTACAGACATGGGCTGTGATGAGTACCAATTGCATGGCTCCGTCACTTTAAGTATATAGAACAGTGAAAGACATGGATGGTGACTTCTATCAGCTGCATAGCTCAGTCACTTTAAGTATATAGAACAGTGAAAGACATGGGTGGTGACTTCTATCAGCTGCATAGCTCCGTCACTTTAAGTATATAGAACAGTGAAAGACATGGATGGTGACTTCTATCAGCTGCATAGCTCAGTCACTTTAAGTATATAGAACAGTGAAAGACATGGGTGGTGACTTCTATCAGCTGCATAGCTCAGTCACTTTAAGTATATAGAACAGTGAAAGACATGGATGGTGACTTCTATCAGCTGCATAGCTCAGTCACTTTAAGTATATAGAACAGTGAAAGACATGGGTGGTGACTTCTATCAGCTGCATAGCTCAGTCACTTTAAGTATATAGGACAGTAAACAAAAAGGTAAAGTCAGGGGATGCAAACCAGCATCACTGCACACGGTTATAAACCATAAGTGCTCTACCACCAGTACGAACAGCTGAAAAGAAACTGTCCGCCTGTGTCGCCGTCCGCATGCAGCTCCTTAGCTACAGCGACGTTCCTCCATTTATCCCAGAGTGTTAACTCTGGTACCCATTTCCTAGAGGCTGGGTGAACCTCAGGAACCGCCCGGTTTCAAACACCAGCCTTGGGCTGCAGCCAGTCGCAGCTGGATTTGAAAGTGAGTCTCCTATCGACTGCGCTTATGCCCCCCCCCCCCCACCATACAGAACAGTGAAAGACATGGGTGGTGACTTCTATCAACTGCATGGCTCGGTCACTTTAAGCAGATAGAACAGTGAAAGACATGGGTGGTGACTGCTATCAGCTGCATGGCTCAGTCGCTACAGGTATACAGAACAGTTAAGACAGCAAACAGAAAGTCATTAGTAGAGCATGTACAATGAAAAGACAGCGAATGTAGCAGGACATGGCGATACAATTTGCCTAAATATAACATATGTGTTTAACAGAGAAAATGATGACTCCTCAAGAGCTCTGTCTCTCAGTCCACAAATCTTTCCAACTGCAACACAGTCCAGTTTTTATTGTGTCACAATGGGACCCAAAAAATTATATAACTGTCTTTTCCTGATATTTGTGACAGCTGTCTCTAGGCCCTATTTCAAAGCATCTGCAAGAATCATTGTCGCTGTCCAAATATGTTCTTTATTATTCTTAGATCTGTGTCATCATTCTTTTCATTTCTCTAATAGTTTCATTACTTTCTCATGTTTCACAGTCAAATGCTGCTGTAGTCTATGAAGCATAAGTATATATCTATTTTTGCTTTTCCAGTACTTTCTGACAGTGTCCTGAGGATGTATATGAATGTAGTGAGGATTAATTGTTTGTACCTTTTCCCTTTTACAAATGCACATCACAAATTTCTTTTAGCTTATTCTTGTTTCTTATTCTTCTAATTATTATCAGTGCAATGATCTCAACAGTTTAAAGTGTATGGTTTCTTTGGTAGAGCTATGAATAAGGATTTTAACTTTTTGAATCCCAAAGAAAGCACCATATGTCCATAGGTTTCTACCTAGAAACCAAATGAACCCAAGATGTGCTGATTTTACATCTCTCTTAACTACCCCATGGCCTTTGATGCTAACCTCCTAGGACTGAAAGAGTTAACAGTTAATAAGGAATGTGCCCAACTATAAATTTTATTTAAGTTTTTGGTTATTATTTCAATTCCAAACTCTCAGAATGCTTCAGTTTCTTCCAATGTGATGCAGTCCAGTTCTTCATGTAAAGTACATTCTCAGCTTCTGCAGACAGTGCTGGAGGGCCTGCACTACTTTCCTGCAAACCTAAATATCTTCTTCTTCTTCGCGTTCACCAGCTGTACACTCTGGCGGAAAGTTCTGGTTGTTCGTCCACACCTGGACTGCAGTCCTGCTCCAGAACCTGGGTGTTGCGTGTGCATCAGTTTTACAGATCTGATTCACTTGAATGCAGACTTTTGGTTCCTTGCCTCTCAGGCAGATGCACTCCGACTTCAAAGGAAGCTACCAATTAGTCGACTCTTACGACATGCTTTTTGGTAGGCAGTGAGTCTATTCTTGTTTTCCTCAACAATGGGGCCCCGGATCCCACACGGGGAAAACCTAAATATGATCTATTAGTATCATATACCCAACTACCCCACCCCTTCATGTATGTCCATGTGTTAATGATATTACTTTGATCCATTAATAGTTCATAATTCTTTTACTTTAAACACCTGGTGCTGTTTTAATGTCTACATACATTTGAACTGCTAAATTAGGCCACTACTTGTGAGTGTGGCAGATTTTATATTTCAGTTGTAAAGGAGTTGTTCATTTTCTTTATTTTATTCCCTTGTTAATCAAATATCAATCTGCATCATTATTAAGACATCTGAACGTAACTATAAGTGAAAAGAAAATATTACAAACAGCATATTCACACCAGCAATGAACTACCAGTGCCAAACGCAGACATTTTCTAAAGCCCATATATGCAAAATCAACACTTGTGTGATGGTATGCCAGAGAAAAGCTACCAACCTAACCATCTGAGATCAAGTGAATAATGATACTATAAGACAGATTGTGGAAACACCTTGTACTAGATTAATTGAGAAACAGGCAGATCAAATGGTTAAGCCATCTTGTTTCAATGCAGCAACAGCAATTACCATCAGAAGATCTTCAAGAGCAAGAGGATGGCCACACACACACACACACATGCATACACACACACACATGAATAAGATGGACTGACAACATTAAAGATACTTTGCACCTCCATGGCATTACAATAGCCAGTGCCACTCTGGATCACAAATTATTTCTCCCCATGATGTTTATTGTCAGAAGTGCTTTATGATGTTAGTTATGATGTTATTGTAGTATGCACCCATGCAATCTCTGAGGGTCTTCTTCTGCCTTTCTATTCCCCAATGGAGCATAGGCCCTCAACCAACTCATGCCAAGTCGTTCTATCCTTCGCTATTGCATAGAGCTCTCCCCATCTTTCTAACTTCATTCTCCAGCTCTCTTCTCCATGTGTTTTTTGGCCTTCCTTTATTCCTAATCCCCTGTGGGTTCCAATGGAAAGACATTCTAGTTATGCTGTTCTCCTGTTTTCTCAGTGTGTGTCCTATCCAATGCCAGCGTCTTTTCCTCACCTCTTGGTCGACTGGAGCCTGTTTAGTTCTCTTCCAAAGCTCTACAATAGTTTTTCTATCATACCATTTAATTCCCTCTATTCTGCGCAGGCACCAGTTAATGAATGTCTGTAATTTATTGGTAATTGCCTTAGTTGTTCTCCATGTTTCCGCCCCATACAAAAGTACTGACTTGACATTAGAATTAAAAATTTTTAGTTACGCAATCTCTGAGGGTATTTACTCCAAATGTTAAAATTATTCAGGAAGAACAAAACTGTAGGAAGTACAGTCCCTGCGATGATCACAAATGTTTCAAATCTGGTAATCTGGTAATCCTAGTTTCAGCATCATAGCAAACGGGTCACCCCATTGTTTCTCCGCTCCTGTGCCAACGAAAAACACTCGTAGCTCACAGTGTCACACCATGCACTCAACTCAGAAGCTGGGTGACGAAACTATATCCTTCCAGTCTACAAATGGAGCAAAAATGCAACGGCCACCGCCTGGCAGAACTGCCACGGCTTTAAAAAAATTAAAAAAAAAAAAAAAAAAAAAAAAGTGGTCGTGCCTAGTGTCCACTGTGACTTGAAGCATTATGTGAGGGGTTAACAAATGGTCACCCCAGCAGTACCCTCACTATTAGCTGGGAAAGGGACTTAGGACATTACATCCACCAGCAGGCGTCGCCCCTACAACGACCTGACTGCCTTCGTTAACGACTGTTCACCCAACAGCCATGCAGTTTTTTGGCACGAAGGAGACACCTTGAACTTGGGTTTCGGAATGCCGACTTCCTACAAAATGTTATTTTGTGTTTTGTTATCACAATCGACGTCACTGCACATTGGGCATACCCATGCGTGCGCAGTCCTCCGAAGCAGCAGCCACTCCAAAGTACTTCTACTAATTGTCCCCATGAGAAGCTGGTTATATTGTCTCCTTTCTCGGCCTCGCAAACGGCAAAGACGTGCTTCACCATGCTTAACTCCCATGTCACGCAATCGTGTTAGTGTCAGGGATTCGATATTATCCACTAGCCCAGTACGTACAGCGTTAACGATATCTGCTCTGTCCATGCTTTTTCCCGCAATCATTAGTGCTGTGCTTGCCAGTTGGTCCGCTCGCTCATTTCCCTTTACGCCCGCATGACCCGGTGTGTAGATCCAGGTTACGGAAGTTAAGTGCGATTTCCGAATGCTTTCTATCCATTCAGAGCGCATACTGCCTGTTGCTATTTTCTGAAGCATATTCATTGAGTCTGAGACAATTACTGCTTGTGTGGCGGTTTGCTCTGATACCCATGCTAAAGCTCTAGAAGCAGCGGCTATTTCCATGGTCATGCTTGACGTGGTTGTCTGGTAAGCGCCGCTGTCCTCATGTATTGTTTTCCCCCTTCTTTGCGCTGTGTATGCCCATGCTGACCTTGATCCGCGCTTCACGGACCCATCTGTGTAGATGATGATATCTCCTGGGTCTGAATGCTGATCTATTAGTTCCCTTACTTCTGTGTCTATGGCCGCAGGAATCTGATCCCGACAGTACCTTCCTAGTGTGATGACAACCTTAGAGATGCCATGCATGTCTACTGGTGTATTCATCCATTCTTTTCCGTGCCTGATAACGCGTAGGTCACATACCTGCTGGATCAAATTCTCAGCCTTTGCCATCCAAGAGCAGCCTCTTTTGAGACGCGTTCCTTTTGTGTCGTATATAGCTTTGTGCAATGGGTGGTTAGCGTCTGCCGATACCCTCATGTAAGCCTTGACTTGTGCCACTTTGTATCTGCTAGTCAT